TCGACTTTGTTCCTGTGGACATAATTTATCTAACTATTTATTCCAATATTTTACAGACAGCACTGACTCACGCATCAGAAACATGCAGCTGGACACTTCTACCTTTAAACGAGGATTACACAAATCTCCCCCAATCTCTACCGGGATCAGTCTGCTCTATTCCCAAAAGGTGGCAAAACCTGTTTTTTGTTTTCCCTTCAACCTCTATTCACAAATCAGCCTTTTGTTTCTCTCAGTAATCGCTACACACCTATTTTTAAGCAATTTCTCAGTAATTCAAATTCCCACTAAGAGCTTCCCATACTCCACATTATTTCTCAATCACAGCCCTAATTGTCGACACGTTTTTTGTCGGCTCCACCGCAATTTATTTAAGGTGGCCCCGGGTGCGGAGCCGGGGGCTTCCCCACGCCTGGGTGAGCCCCACGTTGCTTCCCCATCACGAAGCCCACCTGGGGGCACGACTAAGGGTGGGGGAGCGGGAATGGTGTCCCAGATAGGCAGGAGTCAACCCATCTCTGCCCTCCCCAGTGAAAAACAACAACAACAAAAGGCTATTAAAACAATCCGGGCTTTGTTTTTATTGCTTGAGCCTGAAGTTGAAAAAAAAAACCCTCAATACTCCTGTGCACAGTTCTGCCAAATTCTCCTATTTTTATGTCCTGCAGGTAAGGGGAGAGACACGGCAAATGGCCGCTCAGAGCTCCCGTTTACAGGATGTTTATTACGATTTTGGTCCCCGCTGCCTCCCTGGACCCCCCCCACTCCGTGTCCGTCCATTCCCCCCCCACCTCCCCCCGGCTCCTCGCCCCACGAACCCCGCCTGGGGCAATCCCCGGGCCATCATCACATGTAAAATGGATGAAAAGGAGGAAAGTCGCAAAGGTGGCAAAAAGGCTGCTCAGCGGCACCCTCGGCAAGTCCGAGGCACAGACGCATTAATTTTAAATCGGAAAGGGTGCGCGGTGCTGCACTGACAGCCACGGAGCCAGGGCGGCTGGAGTATTTTATCATTTGGCAAAACGATTTCTGCCTCTGACAGAAATTGCTTGGAACTGACAGAATACCGTTGCTGCTTGAATCTTTAACGTTTCAAGATAAAATGAAATGATACCTTTAATCAATGGATAAGACCATACAGGATAGAAAATGAACATGGCTATTACCTGTTTTAATTGCATACTTCAGAGTTGTTCTGCAGTTCAATAAAATCTCTTCCAAGGTCTGTGGCTGGTCTGCCAGTTCCCAGTTATATTCCTGGAGCAGCTCATTTGGGTAATGGAAATCAATAACTTTTGTTGATCTGTCAAAACTTTTCACCACGTACTGAAGTAAAATGTCCACAATGTCTTGTAGGAAAGACATAGTTGTTATTTCTCCGTTGCATGCCGGCAGAAGATCTGGAGAATGGAGAAATTAAAAGTTAACTTCGTTTTATGACCATATACATGGATTTTGGACAAAGGCTTCTTGCATTTATGTTTAATAAATTTTTTCACTGTGTTCAATACAAATAGACTTTATTTTCATTTAAGAAGCAAATTGGTAAGATCGTATTTTAAGGAATGTTCTGAGAGATAACAGTTAGGTTTTAATTCCCTATTTTAATACCCTAAAATAGCAAATTTTGCCCATGGTGTATTTCAGACCAATTTTTAAGACAATGCAAGAGAGCAGGGAAACACGAAAAAAGGGAAAATGAATCTCAGCAAAAATAAAGATTGGGAAAGAAACGCTACCAGTAGCACTCTAAAACCTGCCATTTGCCTTGCAATAAAATACCTTCATTGTGACTCCCCGATGCAAGTAACTTGTTGATAATTGAATGCCTTTTTCGGAGGCGATGTGCACGGTCTCTCAGTGCCCACACCGGTATCTTTTGTGTGCGTAAGTGCAATGGCTCAGCAGAGCCGAGCAGAAGCCCCTGGTTTGGGGTAAGCGAGCGGCCAGGGGCAGCAGCAGCAGCGCAGGGGGGCTGCAGCAGCCCCCCACGGTGGCGCTGGGAGGGCAGAGCCGGGCCCGCTCTGGCCGGCGCTTTTCTGCGGCGCGCTGGGATCTAGTTAGGAGCAGAGATGCTACCTCCAATGTCAGAAAATACGAACTGCAAAAATACCTCGAATTAAAATAAATCGGTTAGAGAGCGCTCTTTCTCCCTCGTCCCCTCGAACCTTAATTACATGGCAGGGACTACAACGAGAAGGTCGCTGCTGTCAGTACTCCTCAGAAAGATCAACCTGCAGGCTTCAGCATGATGGAATTTTATTGTTTTTGTTTTGGTTTTGTTTTGTTTTTTCCCTCCGGATTTTTATTTTTTTTTTTTTTCTTTTGGCCGGTCTGAGAAGCTCCCGAAGCCCGCAGGTGCCAGGGAGGCGCAGAAGCGGGCCGGGGCTGAGGGCGCGGAGCGCCGCGCAGCCACCGCGCCCCACGGGCGGAGGCAATTCCCCGGCCGGACCGCTGTTTTTCTGTTAGTTTTAGAGAGGCAGCGTGGCCCGGGAGCGCCGTTACCTGTTGAGTGCAGAAAGGCGTAATTCACCTCCGCTTTTTGGCAGCCGCAGGGTTTTTTGTCGCAGGTACAGGCCGGCCGCGGCTCCGCTGCCCCCGGGGCTGCTCTGGCGCCGGTTTCCACGGGCTTCTCGGCGTCTCCGTAGAGCAGCGCTTGACAGCGAGACGGACACACGGCCTCAGCACCGCGGCATCAGCCCCCGACCCCCCGCCCGCCCCCCTCGCCCCAGGGCAGGGCCCGCGGCCGCCCGACGGCGCTCCGCGGGCGCGCTGCCTTGGCTCCGCGGCGGGCTGCCGGGGCCTCCCTGCCCTTACCGCAGAGTTTGTTTCCGATCCCGCCCGTGAACTTCTGGGCAACCTGACACCAGGCTCTGGCTGCAAGAGAAAACGGAGCAGAGGGTCCGCGGGGACGGGCGCGGGCCGGGGGCGCCTCGTCCGACACCCGACACCGCTCCCCAGGACCCCCCTGCCCGGCCGGGCCGAGCCGCGCCGGGCTTCAGCCGCCGTCGGTCCCCGCCGCTCCGTCCCGCCGATCGAGCGGCCACGAAGGGGTCGCCAGCGACCGGGCAGCGCTGCCGCGGAGGCTCCGCGGCTCCGTCGGGCCGGTCCCACCCGGCTGCTCGGTGCCACCCTACCTGTGCCGGGGCTCTCGGCGGCCGCGGAGCTTTCCTCGGCCCCGAAGGGCCAGAAGCCGGAGCCGGGGCTTGCCATGGCGGAGGCGAACCGGCCGGGCGGGCGAGGAGCGGCGAACTGCAGCCCAGGCGGCCCGAGCGAGTGTGCGTGAGTGTGAGTGTGCGGGTGTGTAAGTGCGTGCGTCTGCGCCAGGCGGCGGCAGGCGAAGGGGCGGGGGCGCCCCGGGCACGCGTGGGTGGGAGCGTCTCCCGTGGGCGCCCCCGGGGCGCGCTCCGCGGAGCTGCCGCGGTCGCTCCCCTCAGGCGCCGGCGGCCGCTGCCCCTGCCCGGGACGGGGCGGGCGGCGCCGCAGGGGCCGGGGGAGGTGCCCCGCAGAAGCGGGCGGGGGCGGCGGCCGCTGGGAAAGGTCCCCCGCACCCTGCACCGAAGGGGCGCTGGGGCTGCAGCCGCCGCGGGGGGCGAGGCACCTTGTGCCGCCTCCACCCCACCGACGGTCCCGCGGCACGACGGCCCCGCGGCCGAAGCCCGGTGGGGCGGGAGCGGGGAGCCGAGCGCCCCCGGCGCCCCCGAGCGCCGAGCGGAGGGGGAGGGCGATTTTCTGGGCCTTCGCGCGGGCCACCTCGGCGGTCTAACCCAGTGCCCCGAGGCGGGGGCTGGGGCACCCGTCCCTGGGGCTACGGGGTAGCGTCCCCAATCCGGGAAGATGCACAGCGCAGAGAAATCCCCCCCCTCCCACCCCCCCCCGCATTTTTCCCGCCCCTCACCCCCTGTAACAAGGTACCCCCGCGGCTGCCAGCAGGGGACTCCCGGGCGGTGGCGCCCAGGCCGGGACAGCCCCTCCCCCCGGGGGCGAGCGGCGGGGGAGTCCCGGGGCGGGGAAGGGACAGCCCTCCCGAGCCCTCGCCGCCCCCCCGGTCCGGCCCGGCCCTGCCCACCGCGACCAGCGGGGGCCCCGTCGGGCCGGGCCGCCGCGGAGAAGGCGCTGGCGCAGGGACCCGGGCGGGGCTGGGGGTGCCTCCCGCTCCCCTCTCCCGCTCCCGGGCTGCGCGGAGCCGTCCCGGCTGCACTCCCGCGGTGCTGGCGGGAGGAGACCTGCGCGGCGCCGCGGCTGCCTGGGGGCGGCCCCTGGCTCCTGCCTGCCCCGGCGGCTCTTCTGGCATCCCCGGGCCCCTCCCGGGGTCTCCCCGCAACCCCCTGGGGACGGGGACCCCGGCGGAGCCGTCCTTCCCGCTCCAGCCCCGTGGGAGGCAGCAGGTCTCGGAGGCGAGAGTGAAAGAGGAGGAAAACAACCTCTCCTTTTCCCGCCCCGACGTCGTTTCTGAAGGCGGCCAAACCTTCCCCTTCCACCCAGCGGGTTCTCCGCGGGGGCTAGGAGCCCTTCCCTGCTGTGGCTGCCTCTCCTCCCGCCGAGAAGGGATTTCAAGCAGCGACCCTCGGCGGGAGGCGGGCGAAGCCGTGCCAGGGCAAGGCTGGGCCCAGCCGAGACCACGGGTCACGCAGGTCCCACGACAGGTCCCGGGGGCTGCCAAGCTGTGGTCAGCCCCGGGCATCTCCCTGTGCTTTCTGCACGCACCCACATGGCTCCTGGGACTGCCCCCCCCGTAAAATCGCACGGAAATGTCTTGATGTTTTAAAACACTGCCCTGATGGGAAAGTGAAAGAAGAGCAGCCTAGTCATTTCTTCGTGTGAAACTACAAGTCTCTTCCAGTCCTAGATCACATCGGCTTTAAGGAAACGCGGACAGTAACTCCAGCTCTCCACGGCGAGAGGCTGCTGTGAGCTCTGCCCCGCCGTGCTCGCTCATGCCCCAGTCCCCAGTGTTTTGTCAGTTCTGGGTGTAATTCAGACACAGCCAACCCTATCACTGCCTTGTGCGTTTTTATTTACCATTTTAATAATACACGAGAAAGAAACTTTAAAACAGACTTCAAAATTTAAATAGTATATTGTGGATTTTACATTGCAGCAAATCTGAATTTGGTGCACAGCCTTATAACTAGTTAAAGATCAGGAAGCAATGGTTAACTGTCTCTGGGGAAGAGGCCAAGTGTGTGGGGGGAACAGCCAAAACCCCAATTCCTGTGGCTTGCTGCTGCTGCCAGTCATAGTGTTTAGGAGAGCTAAGCAAGGGAGCAGGATCAGGCTTTTATACTGCCATCATGAAATTTGCCTTCTCTTGCTTTGCAGCTGCGAACATGTAATTATGAATCCTGAAAGGAAATGCAGCAATTATCTGTGTGGTTTCTGTGAAATAAGGTCTTTTGAACAAGGGATCTGAGGAAAATTTGAACATGGTCGCTATTGCTCTTATTTCCACTTAATTTATAGTGAAACTGGTTAAGAATGATCATTACCATTTAGACCGCAATCAAACAGAAAGCATATTGCTATTCCTTACTTGGCATCCCATAGATTAAGATTCCTAAAAATCTAATGCAAAGGAGAGCAAAACAAACACAATGTAAAAGTTCATCACTTAGTCACAAAGCTCAGAGGCAGAGGAGAGGGCTGGATATACTTCCCATAAATGGACATCTCCAACATAAAGATTATATACACATTATTGACCTTTAAAACTGGCCACTAGCTTTACAGTAAAGTCAATAATGAAATAAACTGCATAGTATGCTATCTAATTAATCATTTATGTTTGTTTTCATTAGAGGGACACTTGCCACAAATAGTTCATCCCAAAATTTAGGCATTGTAAACCTAAAATGAGCAGAAATTGCCCTATGGTGTTCTTGTAATTTTTTCTTTTTTTCCTGTAAAACAATTAGAAACAATAACTAAGGTTTTCTTAAGATGCATATGGGAATTTGAAAGCTTAACTAGGGAACTATAAACTAAATGATTATTTTAATTTGATGAGACTGATGAAATGCAAAAAAGAAAGAAATATGCATTAAGTAAACTAGATTTAAGCTGCTTAATGTCTAATAATTTTAAGATGTAGCAGTGGTATCCAAGAAAGCTGATTTTCCTATCAGGTTTTTTTGAAGTATATATGTGACTGACAGTGTCCCTTTGCAAGGGTGTTGGGCTGTAAACCACGGTAATTCATATTCACATAAACACACACGTTGTAAACTTGAAACATTGGAGATTAAAAAAAAAAAAAAAAAGGAAGCACATGGTATAAAATGATAAAAAAGATTATGCTAATAAAAGCCAAATGGCAGCGGGAACAGCAGCAGCAGCTAGAACTGCTGGATAAGGCGCCGGCGCTGTGAGGTCTTCCGCAGCAGTCGTCTGTAGTCATAGGGATTATCTTCGGTTTTACTCTCTTCCAGGGGGCTTTCTGCAACCCTCGACCTAGGGATTAAGTGCAGAACTGTTTCAGAAATTAAAGTCAAAACATTTACCTTGGCAAACACTCCTAATCGACTGCTCAACCTGCACCCTCAGGGGAAAAAATAAAAGGAGAATGAAAAAAAAATCAACTGACTTTGCTAGGCCTTTTCCTGAGCTGCATAAAGCAGGCACCTTGGAACAAACACATTATATACTAAAAGCAGATGAACACAGAAGAACAACATGTTCTTCTACAAAGGGGACACAATAAAAGGACATAAAAACGTTGAGAACATGGGGGTGCCTTGCAGTAGTGTTTGCCTGATGGTTACTGTACCAGATTTTCAGTTGGTGTCAGTTTGTTTGCTCTGTTTTTAACCTGCCTGTGGAGCTCACTCTAAGTGTCCATATCATCTTACTATTTTTTTTCAGATGGCAAGATGCATTTTGGAAGCCACCTCTGATAGTCTGGAATGGTGATCTGGCACCAGGTGTTACCATGAAGCAAGATTAAAAATAAAACTCACTTATTTAAGAAGTATATTACTCTGAAATAATTACAGAAATTTGTAGTGATCTACGCTAAAGGTGTACACCACCACTGGTCATACACAAGTGTCAAAGCAAACTAGCAAATAAAAAATACTCAGTGCTTCACTCTGTAGATTGAAATGACAGTACAGTCTTTAGATCCAGGTGACCCCATTTGTGAGATACTGAAGTGTAGAAATTTTTATTAATTGCATTCATCTGCCCTCAGAGGTAACAGTGTAAATTGAAAAGTTACACAGATTTTTCCCACTATGGCTAATTAGGATGCAATCAGAACAGCACACAGTAAAAGGTAAATTCCTTCTAGTCAGCTCACTGACAAAATTCTCATTCAGCTAAACCAGACCTCAAAGTGACAGATTTGGTGTAATTAACCACCCTAGAAATCAACATCTTGCAAGGGATGTAAACTGCATGGTAATTCCCTGATACTATTATTTTTAATTCCATGCCTTCGCAACACCTTCCTAAAACTAATTTAGATCCTACTTGGAAAAATGCCAAAAATAAAATACCTAAGGGGCACAAAAAGTTCTACAGATATTTTCTCCATTACTGTGGACACATTTTAAAATTCAGCGATCATCCCAGGCTTAGTGTTTCCTTAAGCCTTTGACCTAGATTCTTTCCAAGTTTTTCTTACATATATGAAGACACAACAAGATACAAATATATCGAGATACATAAATATGTGTGTGCACATGCACTGTGTGTGGGTGCACTGGCAAGAGTGAGGATATGAAATTCCTTAGCCCAGCAGAGGTCAGCCTCTAGGAACTCTATGTGGGAAGGGGGGAGGTCGAGAAAACCCTCCTTTTTTCTCCTGGCTGTCCTTGGTGGGATCCACCACAGGCTTCAAACACATATACAGGACAGCAGCAAGAGGAGGCAGTCAGTCTTATGTGCAGAAAGCAGGCAGAAAGTTCAGCGCGCATACACTCTATTTAAAACCTAGCTGATCAGAAATGCAGTTTTTAGGTACTGCTTTAGTTTTATTTGCTTTTAGATCAGAGATTTACAGCAGGATGTCTGTCAACCTCATCTGGCAGGGTGAACACCAATCATACTAGCATTTGTCCCTGCTGCATGAAGATGGGAAATTTTCAGCTATACATTTCACAAGTAAATTTGGCAGGATTTCATGAATAAAAAAAATAGATTTCTGTCTAATTTGAAAGTGTATCTTTTTTATGAATCTTCTGAATATCTCAGCAAGGATATACAACATCTATTTTGTCCTATTTTTATTTTGTATGAATTACCGCTCAGTAGCTCTTAAAATTGAAGTCCTGCGCTCAGCTGGGTGTCTCTTCTTTCTTGTGGTAGAACTGCTGTCCCTTGAGGTGGAATCAGTAGACGAAATTCCATGGTAGTAGATATCTAAATCTAGCACTTTGCTCAGACTGTCAATAAGTAAGTACACTAAGTTAACAATTTCACTTTTCAACATTATATTCAACATTCAAAAAAAAAGGCAAACAAATATCACTGTTAGTTGTGTTAATATGTTGAGGATCTCAGGAAGAACATATACAAGCACAAGAAATTAGTCTCTGAAATGTGACTGCTGCATGATGCAGATATTGAGAATTTTGAAATGCTAAATACTTTTATACGTTCATAAAGCAGACATATATGACTGAAATTGGGTTTGCTGTTATACTCAATGGAGAGGCATTTTTATGGTATAATTCATCTGCTCTATTTTAGATATCTCTTTGAGGAACAGAGGAATCATTTTCCTAATGATGGCTATTTTTTTCTCTGAGTACAAGAAGAGAGTCTAAAGCAACTAGTTCAGATTTCACTGTCAATAATGCAGATGTCTCTTATTTTGTTAGATGAATGATATCCAGGGTATTATATGTACAGAAAAAAAACAATCCCATCATCCAGTTTAGAATGGCTAGGGAAAAAATAATATCGTAATATTGTACCTGGAAAAAGAAGTTCAGAATTCAGTTTTCACGTTGGTAGAAACCAGAAATAACTCACTGATTTCAGTTGCTATGTGCTACTAATACAGAGTTAGCACATGAAAGAAGAGGCCATCATGGAACTGGTTAGCTAGATTTAAGATGAGTGAAAGCTGATCGCTGAGCTCTAACTGAGACCTAATCAGAGAAAAGACTAGATTTGGATTTACTATTTTTTTGGCTAAACAGGAGACAACAATAGGTGTGAAATTTTTTCAGGATCAGAAAAGACGTCAGAAAAAGAGCTGTAACAGACCAGACATGGGAGACGTGGACATTAAGTGAATCTTTTAAAGAGTGGCATAATCAAGTGCAATTTAAACTCTGGCTGAATGAAGACAGATGCTGTGAGCACATATTACATGCATTTAATGTCATGTAACTTCCTTTAAGATACATATTTTAGATACAGAGTTTGTATTCTGCAGCCTCAGCTGAGGACAGTGCTAAGAGCCCATTCATCTTGAATCTATGACTAGGCTACCATAGCACACATGCTATGGGACCATAGCAATGTCACTAGTGGCAGCAAAAAAGCTTAAGTATAGAAACACAAATAAAATGAAGCTATGATGTATGTCAGGAGCTCTGAACAGGTCTATAGCACACGTAAAGATCTAAGATACAGAAAGGCAGAATATATCTATCGCTTGCTTTACTTCTGCAAAGTAGGTTAGTTACATTGTGAAGAAAAGACCTCTGGTTGAAATTTCAAGGGCTACTCTTCTTTTTTTGTTATTAATAATTATTGTTTTAAATTTTTATGATCTATTTCCAGTCATATATTTTTAGGAGAGAATTTTAGCAGTCTTTGTATCTTTGCTAACAACAAAGAACTGGCTATTCATTTACTTTGACTGGAATTTTAAGCACCTTCAATTATTTTCTGTGTCAGAACTATCTTTGATGTGGACCTTATCTTAACTTATTATTGTGCTCGTGTTGCCATGGTAAAGGGCCATGCTGTAGTAAAACTGAATGACTGAATTCTATAATGGATTTCTGTCGTTGAAAATTGCATATTTTAACTTTGAATATGATGTCCTCCCTGTGAATCACAAAATTACCATGCTTTATTTTAATGCTTTATTCTCTTGGTTGAAGTACATCTAAGAACTATTTCTAGAGCATTAAGAAGACAATAGTGAGATAATGAAAAAAATTACCTTTCTTTTCTTGGTTTCCGTTTTTCGTCTTGTATTGATTTCTAAGAAAATACAAAGTAATTAAAAAATACTAAAAGGAAAGCTTATGCAAAGATACTATTCATCAATAAGTTATGTAGGAGAGTGTTGTATATTTGTCATTAAAAGAAAATATAGAGAATCTAATTTGCTGAGCAAGTGCCCAGAAAAATCTCTTTTAAAAATCTTTGAGACTGAGAATGGGATTAACATTGTAGCTCCCAAATTTCAGTTGTCATATTATGAAAGAAAGCTAAAGTAATTGCGATCAGAACAAAAAAGATCTAAAACTTTCAAGTATCTATAGTTGTTTTAATGAAGTTGACAACACTGTATTGCTGGCGAATTTACTGTGAAGCCATGAGAACTTCCATGAATGCAGACAGTGCAATGGGAACAGACATAATCCTATTCTCATTAATTTCAATGCAGTCTTGTCACAGGTTTTAGTAGAATAAAATGGACAAAAGTCCTGTTTAAAAAACAGTATACCAGGTGGCAAAAGCACCTTTCGGATACAAGACATCTAGAAATACACAGGAGAGAAGATTCATAGTGAATGTGAATAATTTCTTATCTCTAAGAGATTTCTGTCCCTACAGCCAAAACAATGCTATGTTGCAGCATCTAATGCATTACACTTCAAAGGCAGTATTTTAAAGTGCAGATGATCTTAATTTTGGTCTTAATTGTGTTTCCTGCAAGCGAGTGAAAACTTATTAGAATTAGTGATTGTAAAGTCACTGAGAATCAGAATTCCTGATGGATGTCAGTATGCAGGCAGATGGACAAAACATAAAATTTCAAAATGACAGTCTGATTTAAAGAAATACACTCAAAAAACCCCTTTTAGTGCCTTGTATGAACAATGGGCTGTTGTCAGGCCTCATTTATACCTGTGCACTCCTTTAGCTCATTTGATATGCAAGAGGATGAGAATGGAAGGTGTCTGATTAATATCTCTAACATGATGTGAGAGAAATATCTGGTTTTGCAGAAGATAGAGAAATTTTTTCAAAAAATACACTCATATGTGTGCCTTCATTTTCAAGTGATCTGGGTGTGAATCATCTGCAAATACCTGCAGGTCACAGAGATTTTTAATAAGGTAGAAAATCCAAGATAGCTGGAAAAGCTACTCTCAGGTTATCTCCAGTTAGAGCTCACTGACTTACCTAAGGTCTAAGAATTTAAGAACTAGTAGGTCTTCTTTCTAAGCTTCAGTGTATAGATATTTACACTAAACCTTTCCTTACCAATGAACTTAATGTCAGGAAGACAGGCTTCTCTTTTTCACATCGTCTTGAAAAATACAACTAATTGAAGGTTATATTGATTAATATCTTGAAAAACTGCTGCTAGAAATTCGTTCAAAAATTCCCCAGCATTACTGCAGTTTGTTTGCACTTACGTGAGGGCTGTTTTCTGATACGGAGCTGGCCATGTAACAAATCAGCTTTCAGAAAATACTATGTTCCTGACTGTATAGTTTTGGCTTTCTAAATATGCATTTACTTCAGAATTGCTCTTCTCCTCAGAAATTTCCTAATACAGAATTCAGTGTCATGCCTTTCATTTCAATCCTTTATCCCATCAATCTTGCTTTCACAAAACAAATCTTATTCTTACATGTGAATTTATTTTTAAGAATACAGTTTATTTTCAGAATATCACTGTTCCAAAGCTGTGTTATTTCAAAGCCCCAATAATAAAACATGGTTGTATTTGTCTTTTTTGGTATGCCAGACACAACTCTCCCTAAAGGCCCTGGTGACACCTTCTGTTGAAAGGAGAAGCAATTGCTACGGTTAGTTTATTAGCTGGGCTCTCACTGGCTGTTAAAATAGGTCACTAAGATACAGGCACCTCGAACAAATGAGTTTAATTGCTTTTTTGTTGGAACTGCTTTCTATGCTGCTTTTACATTTTCTCCCTTTCTGCTTACTTTCTTGCCTTTTTTTTTTCCTATATTTAAGGGCACTGAAGTCAAGAGTGGAAAGCAGCACTTGGTATCTGAACTTGGACCAAAGGCTATATATAGACACTCAAATCCATTAGTCTCCTGAGCTGCTGGTATTTGCCAATTCCTTCATAATCACAATCTGACACATTTGTAAAGGAAGTTACAGTGTGCATACTAATACAGCCTATTTAGTATTTGCTCTCTCTGCAAGATCAAGCACTAATTTAGATGCTCAAAATAGCTCTCTGAACCTGTTTATCTCCCATGACTTACAAAGAAACTATGGAGACCAGGCACTCAATTTGGGTACTGAAAGTGCAAATGCTAGTTATGCATTTAATGAATGTACGTATGTTTAGGTACAAAGGTAAAGACTGGGCTGACCTAGGTTGCCAGCAGGGTAACTCTGAACCTCAATTTCAAGTCCAGTTTGAAATGTGAAGTTTGTGGCCTGCCTCCTTTCACCAGGATGCAGCTTTTATGCTGCATTAGAAAGGAATATAGGGAAATAGGCAATTGGAAATTAAGTTCAAGTGGGAATTATCTGGCAGTTTTAGCGCACAAAAGCTTGCTAAACTCACATGTATTAGAGTGTAGTAGCTGGAGTCTTCTGGATTATTTAATGTCTTGGGCTTCCGTGGCCTCCTTGGGGGTCTCTTCATTGGGTGAGAATCTTCTACTTTGGCTGCAACTGTAAATAAGCAGAAGATATCAATGCTTATTTCTTCACAGAACAGGAAGCTTTTACAAAAACAGAGACTTTCACCAAAGAGAGAAAAAAAATCCACGTAGCCACTTTTATGGCTTGCAGTAACTCGAGAAAGCAAATGCTTTGGGCATCTCCATCACTAGACTGGAAAGGAGAACAGGTTTATCCATTTGAGTTCTGACTACCCAGAGGGACACGTGCCATGTAACAAATGTCAGGCTGGAACAGCCCAGTAGTCTGCCTGGCACAGGCTTCTCCTTCTGCAAAGGGCCAATGCTCCACATTCAGAAAAGGGCTCTGGAGGGTAGTGGCTACTGGAAGGCTACCATCTCGTAACAAGGATCTGGGTGGTGGGGATGATTTTTTTTTCAGACTCAAGTTTGAAAATTTCTCAAATAATCTCTCAAATGAGAGAACTAGCATAAGACCTCTGATTCAGAGGTTGGTCCTCTACCTTAGCACGGTGTAGATCTTCCTCAAGGTCTCCTGCTGAAGCTGCTCATTTCAAGCCAAATCATGTACCACTGGGCAACACAGCATGACCATGTCCATTGCATCCAGTGTAATCCACTTTAGTGTACTCAACTTTTGGTCTCTATTTCTACAAAAATATTTTGCAAACATGAAAAAAAATGCTTTCATTCTAATATAAACAAAATCAAGATTTTATCACAAAATGGCACTGCTGTCCTCTGGCAGTCTCCAAACTCAGAGTTAAGACACTGACTTGTGGATTACATTGGCTGGCACGTGGGGAACTAGAAAAATGTCTTGGATATTTGCTTGTCAAAAATCTATATGCAATTCTGACAGTGCTAAGATACTGGGCTGCTAAGGGTTCATAGGCTGTCTCAGAGCCAGTAGAGTGCAGGTTTCCTAATGCCTTATTCTTTGGAGATGACAGAACTGACTCTGGGGGGGCTGAGGGACCACAAATGTGTAGCATGGTGAGCATGATCACCTTCCATTTGGCTTCAGCTATAGGAAAAGTTAATAAGGGGCTACAGCAATTCCTTCATGATGAAGGAGGAAGGGCTTGCCAGGTATCAGAATAGCAATGATTGAGATGAGTCATTGGGACACACACAGGGTGATAAATGAAGTCACAGCACAAGGTTTAGGCATGGTGAACCATGTGTCCAGGTATATTGCATTATCCAGTGAGGTTTATAGTCCCATTGCAGAAGTATTAAGAGGACAGACCATGAGAAAAAAACCATCTCCTTACATAAATGAATATAGTGTGAGGGTGGAACGAGGATCTAGCTCCCAATGAATTACTGAAGCGTGTTCTGCTGATCTAATCCTGTCACATGAAGCGACTTTAACTCCATAAGCCACATGTGCTAACTACATGTGATTGAGTCTTAGAAGGAAGAATGTATTTTGTTCTCTAGTGGCCACCAGAAACCCTTTTACACAGTAAAAATAAAAACACACCCATGTACATCAGACATCTTTTTAATTAAGGAGGTAGCACAATCCTTTAAAATGCGAAACCATCACTAATACATCAGGGTTGACTCCTGTAAAATTAGCTGTGTAAGTTTTTTGTTATGTGTGATAAATAAAGGCTTGTAAAGGTCATGGATATACAGAGGAGCCAGAACAAATAATGTTAATTTAAATTGTGGTTGGATAATGATTACATTTATTGTTTTAGTTTCTTATCTGAAATGCAGACTGCTTCTCATGTAATGAATGAACAAGTATCTTTTAACATTTTGCATTTAAGGGAACAATGACATTTTTCTAAGCCAGGGTGCAGATAATTCATGTTGAACAATGAAATTTAGATGCAATAAATTCATTTCAGTAACCTGTATTAAATATAAATTACATTATTTGATTTGAGTAGGTATAGCATGCCTGACTGTGCTCTTATGTAGGCTGTTGTTACCTTGCTGCATTTCAAATGGGCCACCTGGAGTTATCCAAGTTTCTATTTGTGAGAGAGTAGAGGCTTATCTTCCTTATTTTATTTTTAAACAAAACAGGAGCCTAAACCGGAAGCAATACCTTCCAAAAAAACCCTTAAAATTCAGTGTAGCTGAATAGAAACACCTAACCCCTTGTCTGTAGGGCATTTTCAAAAATTATGTCAAAGTCATGACTCGATGAAAATCTGGAAAAAGAAAATGAAGCTAAGTTGGGGACTTTAGGAAAATCCCAAGGAAAAGGCTCTCATAATACCTAAAGATTTTTTATTGTCCCCTAAGAATTCATCACTGTGTATGCTATTACATTATTTAATTTATCACTGTCAAACACATAAAGCATTATCATATTCTAGATTACAATTATTCCAACTGAAATTACTTGTATATTGCTTGCGTATGTGCTCTGCAAAGAAAACTCTTCTTATATTCAAAAAACCATCATTTTGACAATGGCAAGGGTTTCAGTAAAAAACAGCTTTTCATCTCATCTTGTGCATTGTACATATGTATGAGCTATGCAAAAGAACAGAGGGGACAGAAATACCATGTTAAGGCAAGCAGCCTTCTAAGCTTGGACCTCCATTTTTCCTTTTTAAAATTATACAGAGTGCTGAAAATGCAATTCTGAATTTTGTCTCCAAATTACACAGTAAGTAGAAAATAGTTTTATGGGTTTAGCTTTCTTTGTTTCACCTGAAAGAGAACCTGGGATTTCCTTCTGCACTTAGATTTGTGTGCTCATTGCTACTGAAATACAGCTGATGCGGTAGTTGCTGCATGGGATAACTCACTGCACAAAGTAAAATCTGCTTTTGTATTAGTTGCTGATAATTCCAGAAATCACTGATTTAGTAGAATTAAAGGTGGAAGGCAAATTAAATACCCAAGCCTGATAAATGGTGAGTTTGATGTCCTTGTTTTCCAGATGGCCTATACCTTTCTGCAGTAGGCAATGAAGCAGAAAGGAGGAGCAAAATAATTCACTTATTAATAGGCCAATTATGTTGCTTATGGAGTTCATTACAAAGAAAAGGTTTTATGGAAGTCCAGTCTCTCCACAGTAAAATGTCTTCCAGCCTAATTTTCCTTAAGACTTCAAGTATCTCTAGCAAGATCTGGCCCTGTGCCTTACATGTAAAAGGAGAACTGATGATTTCTATCTAACATTTAAATAGATACGTTACAACATTGATACAAAAACCATTCACAACTGTAGCTGTCAAAGCACTTTGCAAATGTCAGGTTTGCGCTATCATCCCTATCTTACTTGCAGGGTAAATGAGATACATGAAGCAAGACTCACCGAGACTTGCTTAAGATTATGTCCCAGGGAGTCATTAACACAGCCAAGGAGCTGTGCCCTGCGGTTGTATCTACCTGAATAGGTGCAGTCAGTGCTGTGACACACACCCTGGAAACTGGAAACAAAACCATTTGATGCTAGGAAGACATTCCTTTTTTAAAGGTTTTAACAAGAGGAAGCCAGGTTGAACAGTGAGTTGAAAGGAAGGATCTTCCTCAAACTTCCCAAGTGCGTGCAGTCAGTACTCAGTCAAAAGAAAGAGGTTTTGCTCTTGTGACCTGGATGCTTTGCTTTTGAACATCAACCGCAAATGTTAGCCATGCTGTAACCTGTGCCAAAGAAGCTAAATCTCTCTCCTGCCCAAACCTAAAGCAGACTGTCAAAACATACATTTGACCAAGTGATGATGGAAAGCTTAATAAAAGTTAAAGTCATTCTCCATGAGAATGAATGAATTACAGAGTTAAAGGTCAGCAAAGGCAACTAAATAGTGTGGCTGCCAGGCAACATTAAAGAAGGTTTAGAAAATCCAAGGAAAATTCCTATCTTTATCTCAGCTAGCTTGTTTAACACTAGTTCAAAGGTTCATGCCTAAGTTACTGTCCTGGTTTTGGCTGGGTTAGGGTTAATTTATTTTATTTAGTAGCGGGTACAGTGTGTTTTGGATTTAGTGTGGGAATAAGGCTGATAACACACCGATGTTTTAATTGTTGCTAAGTATCATTATTGTAAGTGTCCTGGGTTTGAGTGAGTGGTGGGGTGTTTTTTTTTGGTAGCATGGGAGGGGGCTACAGTGGTGGCCCCTGTGAGAAGGTTCTTGAAGCTCTCCTGGCTTCAAGTCAGACCCACCTCTGCACCAAGGCTGAGCCAATCAGCTGTGCCTCTATGATAACGTATTTAAGAAGGGACCTGTGAGGAGGAGTCAGACTTGTAAGGAGGAGTTGTGGCAGCTGTGTGAACACCAAGGTCAGTGGAAGAATGGAGGAGAAAAGGGGGGGAGGTGTGCCAGAGCAGAGACCCCCCTGTATCCTGTGGTGAGATGGCAGAGCAGCCCTGCCCTGCTGCCCATGGAGGTCTGTGGTGGAGCAGATGGTGACATATGGTCTGTGGGGGGCCCCACACCATTTGAGGTGACTTCTCCCGAAGGAGGCTGGGATTCTGTGGGAAGAAGCAGCCTCCATTGTTGTAGTTCAGCACTGGGAAGACTGCAACATGCGGGGGTGTCCCACACTGGAGCAGCTCAGGAAGGGCTGCATCCTGTGGGAGGGACTCAAGTTGGAGAAAGTTTGTGGAGGACCGTGTCTTGTGAGAAGGCTACCATGCTGGAGCAGGGGGAAGAAGTTCCAGAAGCTCCTCCCCGCCCAAGATGGAAGAAGTGGCAGCACTGACTGCACTCTCCATTCCCTGTCCCCTGTGCTGCTGTGGGGAGGAGGTAGAGGTATTAGGAGCAAAGCCTGAGTCTAGGAAGAAGGGAGGGGTGGGGGAAGGTGTTTTCAAGATGTGGTAATGTTTCTCACTGTCCTACTCTATTAAGTGTTGTTGTTGTTAGTGTATTAAATGTATGTTCTTTTTTTCCTTACCCTAACAAGTCTGTCTTCTGCCTGTGACCATAATGGGTGAGTAATCTCTCCCTGTCCTTATCCCAAATCCCGAGCCTTTACTTATTTTCTCCTTCCCAGTGCTGGGAGGGAATGAGGGAGTGAGTTGCTGTGTGGTGCACAGTTGCCCTCTGAGCTCAA